ACGCCTCATATGCGCAAGTCCAAATATCTGCGGAAAGCTCAGTCTTGGGCCTCTCTATCTTTCTTTACTTTTTCGTATATATAAGATTTCATCTCGCAACGAGAAATCGGTTTACACGACTGTTCGTGTGGCCGGCAATTTGTGTAGGTGTGCCTGTGCCTACCACTGCCTAACCCTAACCCTAACAGCTGTAATGCAAAGCTACGCGTATATTTTCTCGCACGTGTGATCTAAGCTTTTGCGTCTGATCTGATAAGAAAGAAGCTAGAATGCAGTAAATAACGTTCTTACCAAGTATTTAAATCGACGTGGCGCCACCTTATCAGTCGGCCTGGATATTCGAATCGGCCCCGCGGGCACCTCTTCACGCGGCTACATAGGAGCATTTTAACGTCGGATTACATTGGGCAAATACTGTAAATTGCGCGAGAATGAATGAAAAGGCAGGACATAAAAGTACTGTGATAGAGATTTTTTCTATTTTTCCTAGTCTCCCACGAAAGGCACATCCGATGAAAACCTTAGTTAACGTAAAATGACAAGGCGTAGTGTATACCGACTATAACGCGGTAGTATTGTATTACACTACCCCGGCATCGTAATAGCAAAATTATACCGAGATGAACAGATGTGTTGTACTTTGAAGTCGTTGTTTGTTTTATGTTTATTGAGTTGGCGATAATACCCTTCTTCCCACGTTGAAAGGCGTTGTATTGATTACCTCATGAAGAACCAGTGTTCACCGCGATAGTCACTAGCTGCTGCTTCGTTGGAGTTCGCACGAAATGAGTGTAGGTGGAAGTAAATATTTAGTCTGGCGTAAGCTACATTCATGCCGGAGGCTTAGTTCTGAAAAAGCAATGTTTTTGCACTTTTGGAAACAAGTTTGAAATTCGGCGTTCATATACACGTGGCTATGGCGAATAATTTTTGCTATAGAAGTACTTCGACAGCGCCCGCTGGTTTATGCAATACATGACATCAATGTTTTTCATCGCATCGCTTCGTGAGTTTTATGTGTTTCGCGGAGTATTATATCACTTACGATAGCTCTAATACTACAGTGCTTGTTGTCACAGACCGGCAGTGAGTGCGGTGGGGGCAACCAGCGTTATATAGAACTAGAGCTATACGTCTAGGAAAACTCAGCGCATTATTGCTGAATTTAATTACAAGAAACTCCACCGAAGCGGTTATTTTATTCTTGCTCCCTTCCCCGCGTGTGTACATGATTTATAAACACAGCTGTGTGCTTTATGCTGACGCCTCATGATCACACACGCCGGTCCCAATATAGCACAATAACACAACGTATATTGTATCGCAAATTGATAATTTCATTACAAATCTTATATAACAAAAATGTATGATAGCGGATAGCGTAAATTCGCGTTAGGTTTTTTAATGATGATTAATCAGACACAATCTATGTCATATGATCTTTAAATATTGTTTTGTAGATTATATCAGGAGTCTATCAATATTGATAGACTCCTGATTATATGTAGAGTAGGCCACAGGCACTTGAAGCATTTCAATAAAATATATACGCAGGGGTCGTGTGCTGTGCACGGCGACAGTTAAATATATAGAACTATATATTTAACTGTCGCCGTGCACAGCACACGACCCCTGCGTATATATTTTATTGAAACGCCTCAAGTGCCTGTGGAGTAGGCGACTTGACTTGCGAAATTCCTGATGTAATCTATACATAGATAATCATATCACAATAGTTTCATATTATTTTTTTTATGGCATCCTATGCCAGTAGGCCTACAGATCTGTGAATAATATGAGAGCATTCAGATATGGTTATCTATGTATAGATTACATCGGAATTCGCAAGTTTTATTTTACAATACACGTCAAGTATCATACTCTACATATAATCTATATAGGCCTATACCTGATTATTTGCAAGCATAAATCAAATCTTGTCAACATACAGTGTAAACAACGATTTATAACCTATAATACCCTAACCCTAACCCTAACCCTAACACACCTCATTTTACCGATTATCCACTAGAGTGACTGAAAACGAATGCAGTTTTATTCACTGCTGATCCTATTATTAATCTATCTATATCTATACTATAATTTGGCTAATCTTGTGTGGCTGTGCTGTGTGTGCTTTGTTTGTCCTCGTCTTTTCGCCGCTGATTTGTCACTCATCGCGCTAACTGAGATATATCAGAATCACCACGTCTGGGAGATGGTTCCTGGCTGAGAAAACAATTTGAAAAAGATTTACAGTATTCATATTAAGTCAAAAATTCGTAAAAATGCTATTCCGTCAATAGATGGCAGTGCGTACAGCAAGATCCACATTCAACATACGTGGGAATTACACGGTGTGTCTCTTGACTGCCGCCGCTTATGAGCATATTCAGAATCACCACGGTTCTGGGAGGATGGTTCTGGCTCAAATCAAAAATCTACTTCTCTCATTAGATGGTGCTTGACCGTCTCAGTATCCCCCCCCCCCCTACTGCAGATTTCGCCCCCTGCTCACTCTGCTTTGCGTACACGCGTCTGACAACAGTAGTCAGTGGCCAGTAGCTGTGCAGTGTTCTGTTGTACCCAGGTGCACGTGGTTTTCTTTTCAGTTACATGAATATTTTAACTTTATGCTGTGTCACTTTACATGGAGTTATAATATTATATAGACAACATTTGCTCGTTCTATACGGGTATACTTCTGCTATGTATAGTTGTCCAGCCGAATTTGTGTGTTCGCGCATAACTAAGAAGAACGTCCGCATCTAGAGGGAAAACGTAAATATATTTGCAAGACATCAAGCACGTCTGGAGGTGGTTCCTGGCTGAAACTAAAATTTTAAGAAAGTTAAAAAATTTATAAAATTTATAAAAAATTCTATTCAATTAATAAGATTGAGTACAGATTACATGATAACATGCACGACGTGTGAATCACTGTGTATTAACCAAAATGGCGCAAGTATGCCGAAATGCCGATTACAAGCATCTGGGACTCCTAAACATTGATTCTGTGTTCGGAAATCCCACCTCGGGGAAATGCTTTGTATCTTTACTTTTTGGACTGTTTAGTATGGTACTTCTTGGCCATTCAAACTGCGGGAACACTTCACGGAAAGGCCTCTATGTAGGTTCGTATTAAAATTTCACTTTCATTTCAATTCAATCAATTCATTTTATTATTTATAAGTTTTTGACTTTTTATTTAATGGACTGATCTTTTGAATTTCTATTATTTTTTATTCTTTGGATGCGATGGGCATTGAGATGGCATGGCGATTGGGATGCGCATGGCATGGGAAATGGCATCGGGATAGGATTGCGTATCCGGACAACTACGCACTGAACAATTACCCGCCGGACAATTACTCCCCGGAAGAAAAACATTAACCACCAGGACAATACTCACCAGGACGATTACACAAGCTACCACGCAGGAGCAATTAACCCACCAGGACAACGCCACCCGAAATACCACCGCATACCCAGCGGACAATTACCCACGCGGACAATTACCCACAGGACAATTAACCCACCCGGACACATGTACACGGAATCCACCAGGGACACATTTACCCACACGGACAATTCACCGCAAACGCACCGGACAATTCCCACCGGCACATTACCCGGACAATTCACCCACCAGGACAATTACCCACCCGACAATTTACCGCTACCAGGTGTACAATTACCCACCAGGACAATACCCCCACCCCGGACGAATTACCCTAGCCCGCCCCCACACACACCTACAGGTATGATGATCACTAACCGGACCAACTTCATGGATTTTCATTAACTTCAAGCTCTCAACATTCGCTGATACTGCCGATATTTTGCACTTATTTGCGACATTTTTGCGATGCACCCTATTTTGAAGTTCATATCGGCAAGTATCGGCCCTTCAACACTGCCGCATCAGCAGCGGAGCGAAGCGCCAGCCACCAATGCACAACGTACATGTCTAGACATTTTTCTGCGTCGCTTTAATAGCAGATGAATAACATTCACAGTTTATTCGTGGGCCGAGCGTTGCTCGCACGCGCCTGTGATCGTCGCTGGTAATTGGCAGTCGCCGCGTCGCGTTATTCTTGTAGTGTTGTTCTTGTACTTCTTCCAAGTAAATTTATTGTAGTTAAGGTTGATACGCGCTACTTGCAAACTCGGCGTAAAGTCAAGAAACCAGCAAGCGTACGCGACACCCACTGTAATTACCTTTCCGTTACAATTACAGTAACACTTTGCCCTACGCGACAGTGCTTGGCGCGATACTCCGCGCTGGCGTTCGCTCCCGCGCCTAATCGCTCGCATGCTCGAGTGCCATCTGTGCGATTCCTCACGCTCGGCGTATCCTACAGTAGCCGTTCGATTTATCGATTGCCTGATGAATTGCAGTGCTGTTCCCCTTCGGAGCGTTTTGTTAAATAATTCAGGATTTATTGAATACATCATTAGATGTATTATTAGCGAGTAATAAGTAATGGAAAATTATGTGTTTTCTATTAACTGTCCAGTCACTACCTGTGTATCACATAAAAACTAAAATCTGTATACATTTCCAAAAAGAGTAATTTGTGCCAAGTAAACAATGATTTAAAAAGCCTCATGGATTAGATGACAATTTTCATTATGGAGATTTTAAGACAACTTTATTCTACAATTCTATTCATTACCGACAAGCATTCAGAATGCCATTGTTTTCATTTTTGCCGCACTTGTTCTAAATTATTGTTACTAACCTTCATAATGTGAGAAGGGATGTACAATTATCCTCAAATATTACAGTACTTCCGACCAGTGGCCAGATTACAGCCCTTTAAAAGCAATTTTATGTATCACGCTGTCGAAAAATTGACAATTTAAGTAACGTTATATTTTTTTGCCGAGTAAACTAGGTGATGTAATTAGTTCCAGTGTGGTGGTCAAAATTGCTGGGTATAATTATCTGATATCGAATTCCTACATAAATATAAAANCAGCGATAACGTTACATTCGGCAACTGCGCATCCACACAATAACGCGGAGCTATAGAAGCGGCGCTGACACAGACGACTATGACCAAGACAGTAGCGCCTCCGGATGGAGGCTGGGGCTGGGTTGTCGCCGGCGCCTCGGGCACCATCCTCGGCCTCACGTGGGGACAGCAGAAGGCGTACGGCATCTTTATGCTTGACATCATGGAGCGGCTTGGCACGGACGTGCAAGAGACATCAACGATACTCGGCGTCGCAATAGCAATCTCCCTGCTCATAGGTAAACTGTCAAATGTCGCTCAAATGACGCATCTGTT